CCACTGCAGAATTATTGTTGGTGCAACTGCGCCCACTGCACCCATGGTTCCTACACTTATGGGCCCATCGATAGCGCTTCGGCGATACCTATCGCCTAGAGGCTGCAATGGGGCCCTTAGAGTACGGTGTCAGACCCCCCAGAGGCCGGCGTTGGACCCAAGGGTCAGCGAAGGGCCTCAAAGGCCCCAGGTAGGGCTCCAGAGGCTGATATGGGCCTTAAGAGGCAAGTGCGTGACGCCCAAAGGCAAGGCTTGAGCCCCCCCCCCCCCCCAAGAGAACATAATAGGGCCATCAAAGGCCGGTGTGGGACCTTTAGAGGCTGGTTGGGGCCCATAGGGGCCAGTTTAGGGCCATCAGAGACCAGTACAGGGCCTGCAAAGGGCAGTTTGAGACCATCAGAGACCGAATTGGGCACTCAAAGGCTAATGTGGGTCCTTACAGGCCAGCATGGAGCCCTCAGAGGTTACCGTGGGGCTCTAAAAGACCGACATGGGCCGGCGTTGGACCCCAGAGGCCAGTAGAGGGCCGTCAAAGGCCAAGACGGGCCCTCAGAGACCGATGCGGGCCCTTAGAGGCCGGCATCGGGTCTTCAGAATCCAGTGTGGGGGGCCCTCAGAGGCTAATGTGAGCCCTTACAGGCCAGCATGGGGCCCTCAAAGGTCAGAATAGGACCCTAAAAGACCGGCATGGGCCGGTGTTGGACCCCAGAGGCCAGCGGAGGGTCCTCAAAGGCCAAGATGGGCCCTCAGACGCCGATGCCGGCCCTGAGCGGCCGGCATCGGGTCTTCAGAAGCCCGTGCGGGCCCTCAGAGACTAAGGTGGGTTCTTACAGGCCAGCACGGGCCCTCAGAGGTCAGCGTGGGGCCCTAAAAGACTGGCATTGGCCGGTGTTGGACCCCAGAGGCCAGCAGAGGGCCCTCAAAAGCCAAGATGGGCCCTCAGAGGATGATGCGGGCCCTTAGATGCCGGCATCGGGTCTTCAGAATACAGTGCGGGGCCCACAAAGGCTAATGTGTGTCCTTACAGACCAGCATGGGGCCCTCAGAGGTCAGTGTGGGGCCCTAAAAGACCGGCATGGGCCGGCGTTGAACCCCAGAGGCCAGCGGAGGGCCCTCAAAGGCCAAGCCATGGGCCCTCAGACGCTGATGCGGGCCCTGAGCGGCCGGCATTGGGTCTTCAGAATCCAGTGCGGGGGCCCTCAGAGGCTAATGTGGGTCCTTACAGGCCAGCATGGGGCCCTCAGAGGTCAGTGTGGGGCCCTAAAAGGCCGGCATGGGCCGGCGTTGGACACCAGAGACCAGCGGCAGAGGGCCCTCAAAGGCCAAGATGGGCCCCCAGAGGCCGATGCGGGCTCTTAAAGGCCGGCATCGGGTCTTCAGAATCCAGTGCGGGGGCCCTCAGAGGCTAATGTGGGTCCTTACAGGCCAGCCAGCATGGGCCCTCAGAGGTCAGTGTGGGGCCCTAAAAGGCCGGCATGGGCCGGCGTTGGACACCAGAGACCAGCGGAGGGCCCTCAAAGGCCAAGATGGGCCCCCAGAGGCCGATGCGGGCTCTTAGAGGCCGGCATCGGGTCTTCAGAATCCAGTGCGGGGCCCTCAGAGACACTTAAAGTCTAGTCTTGGGACTCGAGAGACAGAAATGAGGCCACCAGAGGCCGGTGTGAGGCTCTCAGACGCCGGTTGGGCCCTTGACGCCGGTTTAGGGGCCCTCAAAGGCCAGTGGAGGGCCCTCAGAGGTCAATGTGGGTCCTCAGCGGTCAATGTGGACGCTTGACCGCCACTGAAGGGCCCTCAGAGGTCAGTGTAGGACCCTCAAAGACTGGTATGGGAGCTGTTAATAGCTGGCGTGGGTTTCTCGAGCCTCGTGACAATCGAATACGGGCCAGGGCCCCATACGGCCATGGGGGCCCATCGGTTGTTTGGGGGGGGGCCAAATGATATGATGGCCCCCCCTGATTTGGCTTTGGGGGGGGGCCATGGCCCTGATGGCCCCCCCCCCCTGCGACCGCCACTGTTTCAGGTACGGAAATATGGAATAATTCCAGCATTATTTCGTGACATGATCTCCGTTCTCCTTTCGTATTGCAGCGCAGCATATTTGTTTCTGCCTGCATGCTGGCACGTCTCTAGATTTAGAGCATTATTTGCATCAATTACAGTTGTACCAGGTCCGGTCAGGTGGGACAAGTGCGTCTCAGTCTGCAAAGTCACTAACCGATAATATTTAAATATGTTGATGAAATTGACCAATAACATGGCAGTGAGGTGTATTTTGGCATGTAACAAAAGTAAGCCGAAAATACAGAACGAGCTTTCGTCTTACGACATCATCGGGTTCTGAGAACCCGATGATAATGATGTAACGAAAGCTCTTTCTATATTTTCGGCTTTATTTTGTTATATAAAAATACACCTCACTGCCATGTTATTGGTCACTTTCATCAGCATTATTATATCATGGCAAAACCGACCATTCAATACATCAACCGATAATATCATTCAATCCCTCTGAACCGATTTAGGCATCTAAAGCATCGCTCATGATTACTCTCACTGAGATTTCTTGTTAAGCATTTATTTAAAAATACAGGCCAGTGAGTTTGGCCTCGTGTCTCAATCTGTCTGATCTCTAGTCCATGCTGTCTTGCGTCTTGTCTCAAGTCTCAACTCTGGCTCAGGTTTTGAGTCACGAATACGATATACCTATTATAGACTAGAAGGCAGAGTAGAGGGCGAGTGGAGTCCCGTATAGGTACATAGCTGTCACCTGGCGGTAGCTACTGGTACTACCGCCAATGAAGGTGGCGGGCCGGTTTAGGCAGGAGGGTCGCTCTCGGTATTGCCGCCGCTTCACACAGAGAAAGGGGATGGACGATGCAAAATGGTAGTGTTGGTGGTGGTGTCGTGGGAGGGGGGGGGGGAGCTGTGAGATTTTAGGCCAGTCCTGCTGTAAAAGGAATTTTTACTGGTTAGCCGGTCCCTACGAACGCCTTTTCGCGTTTTTCTGTCTCAGTCTGTATTAATTTCTACAAGATCATCATTTTTTCTTTATCATCACCGTCCTTTCTAGTTTCTAAAACGTCAAAATTGGCTCAACCACTCCATGACCTTTGTAGATCGTAGCACATTGTGACAAGGAGAATCCTTCATTTACACATTTACGAAACTCGACTCTATGGACACGTGGCGACTGGCGACACAGGCGACAGGCGTGCGGAGTTCGAAAGAGGCTAAAAAATCGCGAAAAAAGTAGGCACATTGCTCCTTTTTAGGTCAGGTCAAAGGTCAGGTCACCAGAGGACATTGAAGGTCAGCTTTCCCGACTTTAGCATTCACATAAGATTTAGATCATCGCTTGGCCGGGTATAATGTTGCATATCAGTCGATCCGTATCGTTGAACAGAACACATCGAAGTTGTAGCTTTATTTATTCATCGCTCTGGCTTGTCTCTCTCAAAAGCAGTTGTTGAAAAATTGCTTGTAATGTCCATGAATAGGTGACCCTATGGATATAAGCTCACGGCTGACATTTTCTAACTCGGTTTAGTTTTTGATACATGTATTACCCAGTATTACCTGTATTAACTGTGGCATGACGCTTGAGAGTTTGAGCATTGTTTTCGTCCACAAAGATGCTGTTGGCAAAATTCACATCGATTTTTAATCGAGGGTGTACGCAAAATCAACCTGACTTCGATTTATTTTGACTATAGGTATAGGTGACTGATATAAAAAAAAATCCGAGATTGACGTTTCAAAGATCCTGCGCGTAAACGTGCGCAATTTACGTACGCAATTGCTGAAAATTTCAGAGCAATCGTTAAGTGCGTGGGTAGGTACGTACAGCTATCGCGGGCATTTGCTTTTTCTTGGGGCGATGTTACTTGACGTGAACTGGGACCCTGACCAGTGACCTATGTAGAAACTAGAAAGACTTGGCTAGGGCGGAACTGAAGTTCCTACATGTACCGAAATGGTATGGTATAAAAATAAAATATGCCCGAAACAGTGGCTCCGTGCGCTGCTTTAATAATTTTGTAATAACAGAAAACAAAAGTAAAAACTTAGTGTGCCCTAAAAGCGGTTCGCATCGTAAAACCCGATCGACCGACAATTGCGTTATGCAAAAGATCGTAGGTATGGCTTATAAGCGCACCACTTTGGCATTATTTTTCGCCTCAATAATGTACTTATTATATCAGGCCTTGTCGCACTTTTCTTCTAGGAACAGGAAGAGCTCGGCTGATAGTTGGGCTCTGAATTGACCGGTGTTTGATTGCTCTCGGGGATAATGGCGCGTTTTCAGGTCAGTCAAATCACGTTCCAATACCGACTTCTACTTATGATCCAATCGTGGCGTGACCCGTCCTTCGCTCTGCGGCTGGAGTCGGCGATTACATCGCGCCAGCCGAGTTTTGAACGTCATGCTGAGCCTCCTTCACACAACGTTGCATCATCAGATTATAATGAATTATATCAAATGGTATATTAAATGAGCTTCAACAACAGTATAGCCTATTCTGCGCAGCAAAGACTTGGGTGTTTCTCGGTCTAATTTTGATGAATGCTGTGAATGGCCGGTGACTGATATGCCGGCTCCGTGCAGAATACCGTACTCGAAATCAGTGAGGCGTGAGTGCTGATTACTTTATTCCACTACTGTTTATAACTCACGCATCCGTATGAGTACAATCGTGGTAAGACTGAGTGACATAGGTAGTAGGTACTTATATGGGTACGTCAGTAGCATGCATATAAACTCTTGTGATACTTTGTTTAGGATTAACGCCTTATTACTTATAAATGATTTAGAATATCAGTCTCCAGACTCTGAGAAAAAAAAAACTGAATGGTATTCGAACGGTGTGGGTGCAGGAGAAGCCATCAGTACCTAAATCGTGGTTGAGTTTTGACGTCTGAATGATCTGATGAAAGTGGGTCCTCCGAGGTAAATTTGGCGTTCTATTCGGAAACTCAAAATAGTTGTAACCCAAAGGTAATAACTATTCATTTTAACGTCTATTATTCTTCTTTCTCAGATCGGTAGCATAGATTCGCTAGCAAACAATGTGCAGCCTGAACGTTTCAACCGAACGTTATCCGCCCCCCCCCCCCCCCGCGCGGCTACAGTTTGCTCTTATTCTGTAACCGGCTAAGCTCCCGTTTCACCAACTCGGTCACCTGGAGGGCGCAGCCCCAGAACATAGTGACCCCGGACCCTCCGTGACCGTAGTTGTGCACCACGGGCACCTCCCTGTCGGCGATCATCCTGCGCTCCACCTCCAGTCGCACGCCGCCCTCTCTGAACGGACGCAGGCCGGCCCACACTCGCTCCACCCGCGCGCTCTGCAAACTCGGGATCCAGCGCCGACAGCGCGCCAGGATCGCCGCCGTGTCGCCGTCGTCGATATCGACGCGCCAGTCGCCGCGCTGCGCCGTGCCGCCCAGCACGACAAACTCGTCGTTCGGGATGACGTAGGTGCCCGGGAAGCTGAATTTGGCGTTTTTCACGCTCGGCGCGTGGACTTTGATCACCTGTCCGCGGACCGGCATCACCTTTTCATCCCCGACCAGCTCTCGGGCTCCAATCCCCGTGCAGTTGACTATTATATCATAGCCAGGGAGCTCGTCCAGCGTCTTGACTCGAGATTTGATCACCTTTCCTCCTAGATCGCGGAATCGTTTCATCAGGAACGGCAGCATCTTGGAGGGCTCGGCGTAGACGGTGACGTAGCGGTATCCCTTCTTGCCCTGATGTCCGCCCTCGGCCAGGTCGCGCTCGGTCATGGGCGTGCAGCTGAAGGGCACGTCCTTCCAGAAGGGCTCCGGCATGTTCTCCTCCACGTCATAGGCGGAGACGATGCCCAGCCCGGGACACTCGCCCTCCTGCCACAGCTGGTGAATGAAGTCGTGAGTGAGCCGGCCCCATTTGTTCAGCTGCCGGAGAGAGGTCAGGTCAGGTCAGGTCGACCGTTCACAGCCGTGGTGGGCGGGCCGGGTGACGATTTTAACTAGGTGGGGGGTTGAAGGTCAGCTCACTGAATGAGGCTGGTTTGGAGCTATGGAGCTCGTTAGAGCTCTAAGGATGAAAAGTGAGACTTCGATAATTAAGACAAACAGCTCGGGAACATGCGGGCATTTCGTGTGCGTGTTTTGCTCGACGCATGCCCTTTCGTATGTCAGGGACGGGGAAGAATGAACGTTTTGTGCATCTTCAGCCCTGCTGAAAGGGGAGACGCACATCCCTTCCCTCATACCCAGAATTGTTCCCATTCAGGTGATTGAATGGGAAGTCTGCTATCAAACCTTTCACATCTGTTTGCCCAACATATGGGAAACAAATCAAGCATTTGTACCAATAATCCGTTTCTTACTTACATCGTAAGTACTCAAATTGAGCGCCTTTGCATGTTGTGAAAAATAACAAATCATGTTTTTGGCACGTAAAAATCATACTTATCCACCCCGTAGCGCTCCGGTATGTGATACGTCCTCCCAAATCTCTCCTCAATGCCATCGGGCAGCCACCGGACGTTGTCTCTCGACACTAATCACCCGATCGGCCGCAGGGTGTCGGCGATAGGGCGTTCCCCTTCCCCCGTCCTTGTGATGGGGTGTGAAGGACGCGGCCATCCGGAACACAACAGCGTCCGTGTCACCCGCCGGCTGTTACGGAACTGACCGTGCCGTTAACGGACAGGTGGGGATCCGGTCCAGTCCGATCGACCGACCGTGCCGACAGGACGGACACCCGGTCACAGATAGACGGTCACGTACAGGCGATATTTCTCTCCTGTCTCGGCCTTGGGTTCGACCTTTAAGGTCGCTTTTTTCGGGAATGTGGATCACAATTCTGGGGCTTTTTGTGACAAGTTACATCTACCTAGTACATTTGTATAAGCTCAATAATTGAAGCGTTGGATCTATTTCATCGAGGACATTTATGAATGACAGTTACGGTTGGGAAGTCTGATAGACTACGTTTTATTGCTTACTTTCAGTAACATGAAACGACCAAGCAACAAGCACCTTCGTTGGTAGAATCGATAAAGGCAATAGTACAGTACATACCCAACACCCAAGCACACACAGGCATGCACCCACCTGGATGTGCGGCCCGGCGATGCTGCGCGGTCCCCAGACTCCGGCCGAGCCGTCGCCGGTGGTGTCAGGAGTCAGCTCTGCTCCGATCAGGGTGACCTCCGCGTGCTCCAGGTCGGTCCGCAGCGCCAGGGCCGTGCTGACGCCCACCACACCGGCTCCTAGCACGGCTACCGACGGCGCCATCAGCCGCTCACGGAGTCACGACTTCACGGAGCGGGCGCGGGGCGCGTCAGAGGAGGGAGGGGGCGGGATGTGGGTCACGTCAGGGGCTAGGGTCACGTCAGGGAGAGGGCAGTCAGTTTTGGGCTACGTTAGGGGTGGGTGCAAAGGTCATTCGGAAGGTCGAGGTCACGGGCAGCTGCAGAGGTCAGTCAGCAGGGCACAGGCCAGGATTAGGTGTCGGGAAAGTCTGAGGGACGGAGGACGGTGCGGTCAGCCCGGTGTCTGTTGCTCGTCTGACGGCAGACCGGTGCCGGCTCTGGTCCGCTCGTGACGCGGCTCTGTCCAGGACTAGAGAACTCGGGAGTAAACAGACCCGAGCGCTGAGTTCACCGGTGTCATGGTGGCGCACAGGACGGGCGTGATATAGCGCATATCTTAATGACAACGGTAACTGACTGGGGTTTATTGACCTTCAGAGATAAACCACCCAAGTGATAAACAACATAAATGTCCGCATGTTGGTAGGTTGCCAGGGCCATTTGCTGCGCCACGGCGTGGCCTGACCCCGCTCTGTTCGTCGTCACATTAACTGCGAGGTGGCAGGGCAGGGCAGCTGGGGCAGGGCACTGGGCAGGGTGGAGGGGACGCTGAGATGTCCTGGCCGGCTGCCAGGAGCGCGGCGGCGCCCCGCCCGGCCCGTGGCCTTGTCCCAGGAGCTGCCGCTCCAGTGCGGAACCACCGGCCGCTGCTCTAGGTCAGCTGCCGCCGCGCGGAGACGGCGCCGCCCGGTAGGTCGCCGGCGGAGGGCGGGCGGCGCCCCGCGCGGCCGGTACGGCCCGCCCGCGCCACACAGGGACGCCTTATGGGCCCCCGCCCCTCCTCAATAGACGCTGCCACCGGCTGACACCTTCCAATGGAGCGGCGGAAAGACGCCCTTTCAGAAGCGTGAATCTGGTCATCCCGAGCGGACACCTGCGTCGTTAAGTTTTGAAGACGCAATTAATTATTCTTCCGGGGTAAGTAATATAAAAACAGCGGCCTTGGACTGATTAATTATAGGGGTAATGCCGCGGAGAATGGGTCGGGGTGGGGTGGGCCTGTTTGGTAGGCGTGCCTCTCGGCTACTGTCCAATGGTGCATTTCGAGTTTCGCAACACCACTTTCAACTTTCAATGTCAATGACATAATACACCCCCGTATCTAGGTGACCTGTGGTTTGTGAGTATTCTCACGATTATCTGAACTCGACCACTTCCAGGCGCATATTACGGTATAGGACACTGGTGTTTGTTTTCACATTATCGGGACGCACCATGTAGAATGTAAAAGGGGCTGAGCAAACAAGGGGAATTTTCTGCAGGCAGTGTTTTCTTGTTTTCCCGATGAATTATACGGTAATTGTGGTAAACGGCGACCGATTTACATATTAATGAGTTAGATTTATATTTATACCATTCTTTTGGCAATGGACTGATGTTAACTATGCCTTCTTATTTTTTTGGATTTTTCATTAATCGTTAGCTTGACTCGAACCATCTCTGCAGTCTGCATACCTAAATTTGTCGAAATGATACGAAATGATGACAGAAGATGAAAAGAACAATGATGTTAGAGGGAAACAACAATTAAATGAAAATTGATACGTTATTGCACATGCGAGACGTTGTTCAGAGCATATGGGTTTAGGTACGATGGATTAGTGACAGCATACATTGTCTCAGTGACGATTTTAACGTCATTATTCTCCTAGTGACCGGTCATGAAATAAGCCCAGCTCGTTGGTCGAATTGCAGGGTTACTGTTTCCATTTCTCACACGGGTTCCTTTTCCAACGAAATAAGCAATTTATAATCCTGTTACGAGTTGATATTTGTAGTGGTTTCGCTTACATCGGCTGTGATTTTCACAGTACAGCCATGCGTGAGTAAATGGATACTACGTCGAACGATGTGTAATTAGAATATCATTGCATGTTTTCAGGACAGTTCCTTTATTCATCGCTTGTCTTGCTGTGCCTGAAAGCATGAGGAGCTGTAGTTTGTTTAGGAAGCACTCCATGAGTGATTAAGTTCGTAACGTGCCTATTTGACCTAAGGTGACAAGATATTTATGCATGACTGCTCAGTTATCTTCCGTCAATATGTCAATTTTTCACCGACTTTACCGCTGTTCTCAAGACTCGGTTACTTGTAATATCCATTCGTAAATGATAACCGTCTCATAAAACCATCGGTACGCACGTATTCAAATGTATTGGCACCCGACAATGTATAGACCTCACCTAAAATCACACTCCAAAGCGCACATTCGCACATAAATTACTTGCACGCAACAATGTAACATGAGTAAGTATCACTAGCTTCTGCTGATAATTTAGCTACCATGGCGGCATACACATTACACAGTTACAAAGTTGAACAGCCTATTCAGACTTGGTCTTGTGGTACGGCCCCGGATAGTACACATGCACAAACTCAATCTTCTTGGGAGGAGTCAGCGGCTTGTGCACAACCTTCGGGGCGTACGTAGGCTTCGGGGTGTAGGCATGCACCGGGGCGTAGGCAGGCCTGGGGGTGTAGGCGTGCACCGGGGAGTGTCCCTTGCCGTAGCCGGACGCCTGACCGTGCTCTGGGTACGACTGGTGGCCGTAGCTGGGGCTGGGCCGGTAGGTTGTGTGGGGGCGGCCGTAGGCCATCGTCGGCGCGTAGGACCGGTGGGGTGGTCTGTACGGGGAGCTGGTAGGATGGGGTTTGTACGAAGGAGAGGGCTTGTATGATGTGTGAGAGGGGGCTGGTACCTTGTACTCGTTGTGGGAAGGCGTCTCGTAGGACGGGCTATGGATGGGATGCGGCTTGAAAGACGGAGAAGGCTTGTAGGAGGACGGATGGGCGGGCTTCTCGGCCTTGTACGAAGGGGCCGGCTTGTAAGCAGGGGAGTGAGTGGGCTCCGCCTTGTAAGCGGGTTTCGGCTTGGGGGTTGTGTGCGCGGGCTCAGCCTTGTATGAGCTGGCCGGCTTGGCGGGCTGGGGCTTGTAGGCGGGCTCCGGTTTGTACAGCATGGTCGGCTTGGGGGACGGCTCGGCGTGGTACGACGGCTTGGGTTTGTACGACGTCTTGTGACCGTAGCTGGGCGACGGCTTGTAGGCGGTAGCGGGGTGCGCGTAGCCGGCCGCGGGAGTGTAGGGCGTGGGGTGGCCGTAGGCCGGGTACGACCCGTAGCTGGTCGCCGGCTTGTATGGCGCAGGGCTGTAGCCGTACGACGGCCGGCCGTACCCTCCGGCAGAGTACGCCGGGGCGGGCTGATAGGGGTGGGCGGGGTACGGTGCGGCGCCGTGGGCCCCGGAACCGGAGGAGCCGTGGCTGGCAGAGCCGTAGCCATAAGCCGGCATGTAGGATGAGCCGTGGCCGTAACCTGAGCCGTACCCGTACGAGGCGGGCGGCTTGTAGGAGGAGCCGTGGCCGTAAGAGGGCGGGGAGTATGGAGTCACGGGCTTGTGGGACGGGTAGCCGTAGGAGGGGTACTGGGCGTAGCCGTAGGTGGACGAGGGCTTGTAGCCAGCAGAGTGGCTTGAGGCCTTGGGGTAGGACGCACCGGCTCCGTAAGAAGTGGAGGGCTTAGCATCAGCGCCGTACGAAGTAGAGGGCTTAATATGAGCACCGTAGGCGGTGGAGGGTTTGTAGGCGGGCGAGTAGCTGGCGTCAGCGCCGTAGGATGTAGAGGGCTTAATGTCAGCGCCATACGAAGTAGAAGGCTTGTAGGCGGGACCGTACGAAGTGGAGGGCTTATAGGCGGAAGAGTAGCTCGCGTCAGCGCCGTAGGACGTGGATGGCTTAATATCAGCACCGTAGGAAGTGGAGGGCTTGTAAGCGGGCGAGTAGCTCGCGTCAGCGCCATAGGATGTCGAGGGTTTGACAACAGCGCCATAGGAGGTGGATGGCTCTTCGTCGCCGTCGCCCGAGTCGGAAGAATCAGCACCATATGCGGTGGAAGGCTTGACATTGGTGTCATAGGACGAGTATGCCTCATCTTCAGCGTCATAGGAAGAAGCCTTAGCGTCGGCGCCGTAGGAAGTGGAGGGCTTGTAGCTCGACGAATAGCTGGGAGCCTTGACATCAGCTCCATAGCTGGTGGACGGCTTGGCCACGACGCCGTAGGTGGCCGAGGGCTTGACGACGGCTCCGTAGGCAGTGGATGGCGCCTTGTAGTCGGAGCTGTGACTAGACGTGGGGTGTTTGCTGGCGGTGGAGCCGGCCTCCTCCGTGGACGGCACGCTGTAGCTCAGCGCCTTGGTGTGCGCCGGCGCCGCTCCGTAGCCCGAGTGGCTCGGCCCGTAGGCGGGCCTGGCGCCGTAGCCGCTGTGCGGGGCGTAGCCGGCGGGTCCCCGGTATCCCTTGTAGCCGGTGCTGTGTTTGGGCCTCAGCGGGTGGACGGGCGCCGGGCCGTAGGCGGGTCGGGACACGCCGTGCGGGCCGTAGACGGGCCGTGGTGAGCTGTAGCCGCCGCTGCCGTGGCCGGCCGGTCCCTCTGGGTACTGCGCCACGCCCTCGTAGGTGACGACCACGTTGTATCCGCCGTCGCCGACCTCGTCAGCCGTATAGCGGACGTGCTGGACGCGGCCGTCGGGCAGGTTGACCGAGTACTGGCCCAGCACCGTCTGGCTGTCGCTGTGCGCCTCGTGCGAGAACACGGTGCCCGTGTAGGGGTCCGATACGCCGTACTTGAACTGGTACGGCCGGGCGTAGCCGTACTCTGGGGCGTAGCCGGGGTGCGGCGGTCCGGCGGCGGACGCCAGCGCCGCGGCGGCGGCGACCAGCAGGAGGACCTGCGGAAGACAAACGGTCAGCGATGTGCTCTTAGAGGAGGGACAGCCATAAACGGTCATCGGTCTGCTCTTTGGAAAACCTGGAAAATAAATTGTTAACGGTTATCCCGCGCGGGGGTAGTCCACAGATCATCGTACTGCTCTTTTGGGACCTGGAGTAAAATCAACGGAGCCAACAACGTCATCAGCTCTTCAGTAGAAAGCCTGACGTATCTTTTGCTCAATTCTGTGGCGGAATTTCAGTAGATATCAGTTCTTGCATAAATTTTATAGATACCATGATATTTTGTTGTATATATGAATTAAATACAATTTTGATACAGCTTTATAAATTGCATTATAATGAGATATTACAACAATGAACTACATGCATTTGCGAGCTAGACACTGTTTATTACTGGCAGTGATTGGCTATGTTTTATTTGTTTGCTTGTTCGCTTTTTTATTTTTTACTCCTTAAAAACCGTTGTCCGCTCATATGTAAAATTTAAGATATCAGTGAGTAAAAACAAACACAAGATGCATTACATTGCATTAATTTCGTTAGAAATAGACAACTGAAAAGGCACATTCTCCTCCGCAGCTCCAAATATCACCAGGGATCTTTTAATAGCAAATAAAACTAACGATGCGTTAACGCCAAGGCACTAAACATAATGCAACTCGAAAACTTGCGAATCACGCCTGATAATGACGCGGCTGTTGCCGGCCTCGACGGAGCTGCCGTCGGAACAGCCTGCTTCTCACACCACGGGCCATTGGTGAACTACGGGGCGTCGCCACGGACCACCGAGACTGCGACCTCGTGTCAAAGTCCCCAGTCATTCCACACACTTCTTCACACGGCTCCTTCTCCACATCTCAGAGCACCCGACGCACAGCACTCGCTCTCCTC